AATAATAATAATAATAATAATAATAATAATAATAATAATAATAATAATAATAATAAGGACAAACTAATAATAGCAAACATCAATATTTATTCCCAAATAGTCCACAAACGAACGGGGTATTACAGTAAAGTACCACGATATCTCCCCGTTAAGAACGTCCCATCCACAGATATTACTCTTCTGATAGAAGAGCGGAATCCACGAATGCACTGCCCCAAAGCCATGAAAAAAAATTTAAAATGGCCATCCTCACTTGTTTCGATGAAAGTGACTGTCCCAAGATTTGTTTGCTCCAAATAGTAGCAATATGAAGGGAGTTTTGCGTAACTTTCTTCTGGTCAACCTCGAATGAGACCAAATCCATGATGCTTTGCCATAAACGCTTTTGTGTAGCTGATTGTTATCCCAAACTTCTCTTGTACATCAAAAATAATGTCCCTTGGCTTATAAATTCGATTGACGTCTTTATACTTTTCAAAAATGTGCTTCCCAATCAGCTTATACGTCGCATGCCTGTGATCTTTACGACGCACACTCATAGAGCAAGTGTGATTACCGACATACTTACGAACCACAAAAATTTCACCACTATCTATCTTCGCCGCTCTCAAACGCCAAGGAAAATTTCTTTCAATACAAGCAACTACATACAAGGTCTTCGTCGATGTTACCACTCGAAATTCAAAGTGATACTTCACGGCCAACAACAAAATTTTATCTACCAAGTCCTTTTTGGTTGAGAAGATATTGTTACATTGCACAACTTCATTCTCTGGGATCATCACAGAAGATGGACAACAGAGAGGACTCATAGAGCAACTTGCATTCTCAACCATGGCATATTGTGTTGAAAAATTCTCACGCGCCTCTTCTATCAAAAAAGTGGTTCCTCTTTCTTCTTCAACTTCAACATTTCTTTCCATAGGACTATCTCTATTCTCCAACATAATCTCCCATTGACCTTCGAGCGGCTCGCCAATTTGATTTTCCCATATAAGTGTTTCGATCTCCTCTAAATTGTCATTGTTTGTTTCTTCTTCAACTTCAAGATTATGTTCAACTTCAACATTGTTCGCTTCTTCCTCAACAAGTTTTTCGACAAGTGTTACGCAAAGAGGATGTTCGTCACAAACAGATATATACCATTTGACCGCCTCATCATCGTCGATCTTCACAGGGGGGGGGGGCTGGAAATTTGGTCATTCTTGGGTTCAATGATCGCAATTCTATTACGTGTGAACTGCTATCGAACTTTATGCGCTTCATGACCGCATCTTCGAGCTCCAAAAAAGATATGTCGTCGGGAACGTAAATAGGTCTGATATTCTTTTCATTTTCGTTCACATAACTCCACGTCCAAGTGCCATCCGTATTATTTTTAAACTCGACATAGTAGCATACTTGTATCCACACCATCTTTGCTAAAATCAATATCTACAACAAAAAAAATATATGTTACTTAGACAAGATAATTGTGGAAACACATGTTACTAACATAGGAGATAATATACAATGTTCTTAAGTATAGTCTTTACAATTTATATATAACAACTATTTCAGTCATAACGAAAGTATATTCGTTATGAAATAATCATCTAACGATTCTATATTCATTATGAGAAAATTATCAAATAACGAATAGACATTCGTTACAACAATGGATAACAACTATATATTCATTATGAAATATCAAATGCAACATCATATAAAAAAATAGAAAATAAAACGTGAATGGCACAAAAAACATCATATCAAATGTAACTAAACTACATTAGGATATGTCATAATTAAAAACAATGGGAATGTCTTAACGAAACTATATTCCTTATGAAATAAACATCAAATAACGGATCTACATTGACTATGAAATAATTAAATAACAAATCGACATACGTTATGAGATTATTCCTTATATAACGAATGTACATTCGTTATGTAACTACATAACGACTGTACATTCGTTATGTACCAAAAAATAAAAAAAAAAAACTCAATGCCACAAAAACATGATAAATATGAAACCAACATTTTTATAAATTATAAATTATGAACCAAAATGTTTTATCTCTAAAATAAAAACAAACCCTAACAAAATGTGTTAATGATCATAATTTTTACCATAACCACATTTGTTTTGTATTATGAAATCTAAAGTTTATGTGTTAATGATCATAATTTTTTCTTACCTTTCCAAGAGAAGAGAGGATGGAGCCACAGAGACGATAGAGAGTGAGAGAGACGGCGGGGAGAAGGAGAGAGCCGACGGTGACGTTCCAAATTATTTTTCTTTTTTTTTTTTATTACAAAATTGGTAATATAATAGAAGAAGGGCACTATAGTCAATTACCATTTAAGGGTATATTAGGTATTCTATTCTTTTTATTTACCTTTATTTAAACAATAGATTATTTAAACAAAAAATTTATTAAAAAGGTTATTTGAATAAATACCATGTTTGACTCTCCATTTTAAACAAAGAGCACGTGATTTAGTTTGAGAATTAGATTATGTTTAGGGGTTTATTTGTAAATTTAATAGATTTTATTTATATTTCAATTTAACCCATGGGTCAAATCTATAATTTCTAAAAAATAATAAAAGTATAACATTTTTATTTTTTTTATATCTTTAAAATACATAAAATAATAAATAAAATTAGATAAGAATATTAAATTATTATTATACATATTGCACATTATTGACTGGCGGGTTGCACTTTTATGTCACGAAGATTGCACTTTAACATAATAAATGTACGATAATGTTAATTAAAATAATACTATAAAATATTAAATACAAACAACATAAATACTAAAATATATTTTTATTACACAAATAATTTGATAGATGTACAATAATTTTAATTAAAATACACATTATTATATTATTTTTTTTAAATTTAAACACACGTTAGTATCCAGTTTCGATTTAGTTGGGACGAAAGGTCCGTCATTTCACACTGCACAATATCGGCCAAAAAACCGTGCACATTAATACTGTAATGTTGCACTTTTGCGTATGTGATATTGCACTTTTGCGTATGTTATATTGCAATTTAGCGTATGTTATATTGCACTTTAGCGTATGTACCGACTGAAATAAAACGAAATATATTTCTCCATACGGTTTATATATGTTGGTTCGATTTTTGTTCTTTACTTTTTAAAACAATGGTTAGTTCAATACGATTTTGGTTGCTTTTTAATAATCTACCGACCGAACTATATTATATATATATATATGAGTAATGATAGAATAAACCGATTATGTCGGTTCAATTTTAGTGTGATCGGTGCTAATCGTAAATAATAACATACATAACATTTCATTAAGAAGGTTTATATTAATTCAATTGATTGATCGAATGTCTACAAGTGCACATTATTGTTTTTCAATGAACTGTAACATAACATATTAATAACAAAAGCACAGATATTAAATATAATTTTTATAGTATAAAAAAAATTGATAAAATTGTAACATGTAAAATTTTAATATTTAATATTACAATAATAAATCTACTTTTATAATAAAAATAATAAATTATTTATAGGTTAGTTTGATGTACAATAATATCTACTAAGTCTAGTTTTCAAAAGCACATATAAAGTAGTGCACTTTATAATCAACATGTTGCATTTTATAAACATCACCTTGTATTTTATAGAACAACACGTTGCATTTTATCAACACGCTTCACATCGCCAACAGCTCTCTCCAAAATACTACACACATAAGTCTAAGAAACAATATACATCATACTTTAACATCAATAATAGTAGTTATACACATAAACAAAAGCATGCTAACGTACTAAAAATACAACAATACACTTTATACATCAACATGTTGCACTTTATAAAATAACACGTTGCACTTTAGAAAACAATATGTTGCACTTTATCACCACTATCAGATTGCACAATAAAACATCGAAACCGACCGAAATCAAATTTTTGCCACCAAAAATAATATAAAAATAATAAGTAACCTTATTAACATAATATAATTTTAATATAATAGTATAATTTCATTAACCGACCCGTATAAACCAAATAAGTATATTCGGTTTCAATTTGATATGGGACAAAAGATCAGTTGGTTCAATCTATCTGCACAGTACGGACAGACACCATGCACCATAGTGATGTACGAATTGCACCTTAACAATTGTTAGATTGCACCGTATATTTCGTTTACATATATACAATTTTTTATTTAAAAAAATATAGAATGTAAAATAAAATAATATTTATACTAATCATGTTCTTTTGTAATAAATAATATAATTTATGTCGATTATCTAGATTATTTATGTTAACTGAAAAATTAAATCGATTATGTCCAAACAAAATTTTCCTTTCCAATTTTAAAATTTAGGTTCAATTATAATTTTTTACATTAAAAAAAAAAACTCGATTATATAATTATTTAGATAACAAACAAAAAACTCTATTATTATTATTTATTGTTATTATGTAGCAACATCATAATTTTCAGCCTGTGATTTTTATAAATTGTGAATTTGACCCAAGGACTAAATTGAGATATAATTAAATTTTCTTAATCGCAGATAAGCCCTTAAGATCTATTTAATTTTCAAACTTAAACCCCAAAATACACAGCCTTTGTCGTCCTCACGCCACTTGTCGTCGGCCGTTGATTCTCGCCGTCCGCCACCTCTCGTTGACCGATGCATCTCGTCTTCTCATGCTCGATGCCGGCCAGTCCCAATATCGATTGCCCTATTCATTGACACGTCTCCGCCGCCCCTTTGCTGTTTTTTTCACGAACATTCCTCTTTCAAATCGTACTCACCGAAAACAGCTAGAGGATGAGGGTTGAAACCGGCCGGCGCGACAACAAAGGAACTCCGGCGAGGTACCGCGGTTGAAGGCGCTGGGATCTGGACGAGTCTGGATACGATTTCCGGCTGCGTTGAAACACAATTGCGGGGATGCTGGCAGCGGACGCCTGCGACGGTGGACGGTCGGGTTGTGGCCGATGGTCGGTGGCAGAATCAGCCGCGTTTCTGTCAGATGGGGCGGCGCCGGTGAGTGTGTGTGTGTGTGTGTGAGTCGGTTCGTGTGCGTGTGTTTGTGAGATAGAGTATGTGTTTGTGTGTGAGAGAAGGTGCTGCTTGGTGTGGAAGGTGGAATGCGTGGGCTCCACGTGAGTAGATGAGTGGAGATTAAAATGTCTATTTTGTCCTTACTTACTAGTTAATTATGTATATTTATCCCCACATGATCACTTATTTACTTTATTGCCATTCCATATTTGGCTGGTATTATTACTGTTTGACTTGATCATATCCATTGATATGGTGAATCCAGATGTTTACAATCATTCTTATTTCTTTCACTACCTCCCTATGATCTCTTCTCTCTCTATATATATACACTATGCATGAACAATTTTGTGAGATGGTGGGTGGTAGGGTCGTGATTGGTGTGAGTTGGGTTGTACACGTCAACGCGCTGGTAGTCTTTCTCATACGATCTCTTCTCTCTATATATATATATATATATATATATACTATGCATGAACAATTTTGTGAGATGGTGGGTGGTAGGGTCTGATTGGTGTGAGTTGGGTTGTACAGGTCAACGCGCATATATGGTAGGGTGATTGTAGTTGGGTGGGTCCCACAAGTGGTGATCTTTATTGATGTACTGATTAAAGTAACCTTAATGAATAATGAGAATAATATGTTGGTGAGAATAATATGTAGCTTTTTTATTGCCATTGAATGATCAAATATTCACGATTAAAAAGCGTTCATATATAAAATTGTTTCAACTGTCTATTAGACATTGTAGATACATTACAATTTACAAATGCATTTAACGTCTAATAAGTGACATTGTTGTAAATAACCATTTTAATTATAATTCACTAATGCATTTAACATCAAACACTAGTTCATTATTAATCACAAACTACAAAAGAGTATAATTTATTATTAAATCACGCAGCGTCACACGCTACCAACAAGACCATGTCAACCATAGAAGCAGACAAGAATTGCACCATCTTTCTCCCCTATCTTCACTGTGAATGCCATATGAGCATTTGTCGCCCCAGACCTACAAATATTATTATCAGCCGTAAGCACAACCTCTACAGACGGTACTCCCGGTAAGAATACTCTCCTGGGTCACCGTACAGCGGTCGTTGCCGGGTCGAAACGAGTGAATCCCGGCCTCCAATATTCGGTCTGTCAAAACTAAAAACGTCCCCACGCTCCTCCAAGTACATATCACGACTGTCTGATAGCAGCGGGTATGTGCCACCACCATAAGAAGGGTATCTGTAGGGGTCCCGCTGCTCCGCGTACAGATCACGCCC